AGATGTCTTCGGACAGTGCTGGCTCTTTGGCTTTGAAACCGAGATGAGCACTGCTTGCTAGAGTCGGGAATGACTAGCACATATGTGTAAGGGAAACCTTTACCTTTATAGTGTAATGTTATAAACCAAACAAATGCTCTGAGTTTTAAACTATTAAAAATGTTTGGCAAACTAAACAATTTGAAACCTAAAGAAATTTAAATCCAGTCTAATCTAAATAAGACTTTTTAGGTCAACAATATAATTAGCCAGCCTGGAATTTGTCTAGGGCATCAGGTTGATAATCTTGCAATATGTGAAAAGTAAAAGCAGAAAACTATTTTTTTTAAAGTTGCAGGAGTTCAACAGAATGATTCTGAAGCCATAATCAGAATAGAATTTTTCAGGGAAATTCTCACATTATGAGTTTGCATTGGGGTACCAATTACAGCTTCATATAATTCAAGTAAACATTAAAACAAGTTTAGTTACATTAATGTTTGGGTTTACAGACTTTCTATAAAATATACAAATCTTGCATTATGTACACAATGTGAGCCAAATACGAAGAAAGAAAAAAGTAGCCTTTTGTATTTCTTTCTATAATGGGAACTCATGAATCTCAACCACATTATAACAGGAGTAGAGTTTACTGTCACTTTTTCAGTTTCTACATAATATAAAATCTGACATTATAGTTCTCTAACAATGATGCTTATAAAAAAAAAGAGAAACCAAATTATTACCTATTTAAACCCTGAATCTCAAAATAATAGTCTGAAACATTTAAATGCTATGAAAAGGAAAATCTTCTACTGTGATGATACTTCTATGGAAAACAAAAACCAAAGATGGCAGGGACTAAATCATAAACTATTTTAATGCTTTTAATTAATGCACCTGGGAAAACTATGGTACTGAAAATGTGTCAAAAATAAATTATAAAAAACTATTAGTATTTTTATAATTAGTGTTATATTACTTAGGTAATAGGCACCTACAAAATGTAACAGTCTATGTAAGTGTCTCTTGTCGGACAACATAAATTAATTCAAATATTTTATATGTGCATAAAATCTCTCCTCTCCCCAATAATTGCCTCTTTGTCATAAGTTGTAAGACAAACATATGTAGTAATAAATATTTACTATATATAGAGCTTCCTCTCATCATGTCCTAAAAATCATGGTTTTAAATTGTATGTGGAACCAATACATGTAGGCAAGATTTCAGGCTGCAGAAAATTCTCTTGACCTTAAGGACAACTAGAAGAACAGGAAGAGTGAAACTAGCATGTTCACCATCCAACCCCTCCTGCCTTAGAGCAGAATGTTCAAATGTAATTAGAGAAGGAACAGTTTATGCACACCTGCACATGGATAAAACTTCTCAACTTACTTCAGTTCTTTCATTGCAATCAGCAAGGGATCTCTTTCTCCTTCAAGCTCTACCATTACTGGGGCACACATCCTGGTGGGGGGAAAGATTTAAGAACTTTTACTGCAACAGGAGTAAGCAGTGGATATGAAAAGTTATCAAGTTAGATGAGAATATGATATACCATTTGGTTTCCTGTCAAACTTGTAATTTGCCTGGAGATTTTACTCTTGAGAAGCTATGCTATAATCTCTGTTTTCTGACATTTTAAAGATTTTCATTTTAGAGCTGGGTGTGTGTGTATTTTCGAGTCAGTCTTCTTGGAAAGGGTTTTCAGAAGTAGTTTGCCACTGCCTGCTTCCTAGGGCTGAGAGAAAGTGGTCCAATTTCTAGCCTTAACCACAAACTGGATCTTTGTTATTTGTTTGGCTATACTTCAATAATAAAATGTTCAAATGAATTATACTTTTAAATTGCATTCAGAAGTATGTGGGGGTGGGGGGAGATGGGGTTGCTATTTGGGGCATAAAACAAAATAAAATACAAAAATGAAAGTAGATTAAATTCTCACACATGGGCATTATTGTTATTCACCTCTAGCAAACTAATCTCCATTGGCTTAGCAAAATAACTGTCTACCACGTGATTTCTACTGAAATAAAGAATAACCCAGCCACTAGTCCTCACTTACTGACTAAAATTGGGACCAGCTACTCCATCATTAAGTGACATAGTTGCAAAGTGAAACTTCATGTAACCATACAGGGTTACATCAGTTCTGGATATGGTCATTAAACAAATCACCCATGGCCATTAAGTGAGATGTCACATGACAGCAACTTGCAACTTACTGCCAGCTTCTCTTGATTTTATTGGAAGCCAGCCATGAAGGTGGAAAATGTCAATCATGTGGCCAGAAGATGACAAACATTATAAATGCAAACTGATAGTTAAGCATCCAAACTGCAATCACATGATTGCAGGGACACTGTGACATACGTTTGAGAACTGGTCACAAATCTACTTTTTCAGTGTCATCATAATTTTGAATGGTTACTGATAAATGAGGACAACCTGTAAAGTTTTGGCTTGTTAAACCTCCGGAAAGATGCTTCAAATAAGCTCAAGAGCACTACATTCCTTCAAGGAGCAATATTGAGAACATATTGGATAATGAAATATGTATCCGTCTTTAGTGGCTAATTCTTCTAAACATTTCGTTTTCCACAAAAAAAGTAAATATATCCTGCCTGGCACCTTCAGAATGGGGAAAATATTTAATCTGAAAGACATTGTGTAACCCCCCCCCCAAAAAAATACAATCTTATTTATGGACCTCTGTTTTTAGTTGCTCATCTTAAAGTTCCCTTGGGAGAGGAGTGGTGTGGTGGCCTAGGGATGGAGCCCTTGCCTCACAATCAGGAGGCTGTGAGTTTGATCCTAGATAAAGACAGATATTTCTCTTTCTGGGGACAATGAGAATATATCTGCTGAACAAAACTCTGCATTGGCAACAGGAAGGGCATCCGGCCAGTCAACACTCTGCTAGCTCCATTCAGTTGCCCAGATTCCACCCAGCAAGGGATCATGGGGTCGTTAAAAGATGATGATGATGATTTTAAAGTTCTCTACTACTCTTATTGCCCAATTCTTGAATGAGGAATAGAATATTCTGCTAGCAGCCTTCTCCTCCCATTATTCATACATTTCTATGTATGAATTCTGAAAGCCATATACATTCCCGTAATAATATTCAGAATGAATGTCCTATTTTTAATGATATCTCACTAATAATTTAAATGCATGCTCTGCCAAAGAGCTATAACTATGGCAAAGTAGAATTATACTTTTCCAGCTGAAAGCTGGAAAAACCTTCAAACAATAATTAGTATAAAAAGACAGATGACTAAATAAATGTATATCTATATTTACGCTATCTGTAGGGCACGGGTGCCAAGAACTCTGGCCCGCTCATATTTGGTCATGTAAGGAGTAGTGATCCGCTTCTGATTTGCTTGTTGTCGCTCTCCAGATGGCAAGATTTCCACATTTTCCTGACCTTCCTATGGGATAATACAAAGCAAATATAAACACACAGGTGTATGCCCTGTCATCTGAGCAGTCATGCAACTGAAACTGAGAATATGAATGGAAAATATTAAATAAGGTTCTATGACAAGAATGTTATTAGTAAAGGTACCTAATACATGATGATAAAATGTACAACAGACATTAACATGAATTCATATATTTTAACCCATTTTCTAAAGTTCACATTTTATACCACTTAAGCATTGGGGCTTTACAGATCTAGGTTACCAGTATAAATTTATATCCTATTCATTGTCCTTAGCTTCTATACAAAGAAACAAAATATATGCTTTGGGTAAAACAATATGGAACAGACTTTGATGGACATAAGAGAGTACTATGCAAAAATGTTCAAGATTCTATTATTCTGCCTTATTATGATAAAGAATATTCCTAGAATCCAGTTTCTTGACCTGGCCTACCTCAAAGGACTGACATAATTCTTGAAAATTTATCCAAGTTTTTCTCTATCTCATCTTATACTAAACAAAATCAATGGGAGGTTATTTTGAGTTTGTTTCTCATGCTTCGCTCTAAAGTCCCTCTATAGTTTGATCCTTCTTTCTCCTCTTAAGTGGCCCTTTCATAAGTTCCCTAAAATCAACTCTATATTCCTTTATACCCTAATAATTCAGAAATACAGCCTCCCAAAAGTATTCATTTTGCCAGCTAAGAATGACATAAATTGAAGTCTAATATATCTAGAAGTTATTTCACTCATAAAATATACATCTTCCTATTTCAAATCATTCACCAGATTGAAGGCTATTTTAATATATCACAAGCTAAAGTCACTTACCTCCTCAACATTTTCTAGATCATCAAGTCCTTCATCTTCTTCCACATCATCAAAATCATCTCCATCAAAACTAACAGAAGAAATGTATTAATATTTTATGGACAATTCTCTAGCAAAACCCTAAAGTATGTTTCTACAAGCACTACAAGCTAAATGTCACAACTGCTGTCAACACCTCAATTAGCTGTTGACAAAAACAACGTAGGACTGGACTTGATTCATATTTGGAAGGAAATCCCAGGTTTATAGTTCAGGCTGTGAATAGATCACAGAGAAGTCAGAAAGGGAACATGTTTGTTTTTAGACTGGAGAAAATTAACCTGATCTTCTTTCAAATTCTGTGGGACAAGCCAGAAAAAAGAAATATTTTTGAACTTTTAAAAGTCACTAAATCAATATGCATAGTTTTAAGGAATTTAGAGTCAAATCATACATGAGTCAGGGAACCCATTGGCATGACTGTTGCTATTTAACATATTGTACATAATGTAGAAAATGCATTCTATTCTCAAATTCTGTCCATCAGGTCAGGATAAACTGTTTGAGCAAAAGTATACACTTAATTAAAATAGACATATTAGTATATTTTTTTAAAAAGTCCAATTTGGCTAGTTGTATGCCAATTCCTCTTTGAAAGGTGATTAACACTAAAGAAGAACAAAGTAATAAAACAAAGGATTTTTGACTTTAACTGTACTTCAACTGCCACATCTGAAGGGTGCATACTAAAAATGTGGATCATTTAGCCTTTCAGAATAAAGCATGCTAGACTAGACAGACCTTTAGTCGGATCCGTGTATGTTTGTGTGTGTATGTGTGTGTGCGCATGTGCGTGCAAATGTATATATGGGTGGGAGACACTGTAATTACTCTCCACTTTCAGTGATGAACAGAGAAGGACTATGCCATGCCAGTTAAAAATATTTTTGGAAAAATCAGTATGGTACAATTATCTGAGTGAGCCTAGCTCGGCCTTGGATTCAAATTTATCCTTAACCATGAGACCCAACTCATTATCACTTTGGGACTGGTTCAACAATGAAAGTGGGATACACCTTTTAATAACAATGCTATTTTTATTAACAAACTCAACATTAAGAAAACTAAGATCATGGTATCCAGCACTCTCAATTCCTGGAAAATAGATNAAAGCGCTATTTAAAGCGCCCTTCTTTCTCCGCGCTGGCTGTTGTCACCCTGTTGATGACGTCAGCGACGCGGTTTAATCGGGCGCGGTTTAGTCGAGCTCGGTTTTGACGGGTCACGATCCTTTGGTAGCATACATTCTATAAATCAACTGCATCACATTAATGAGAGGTCCTTTTTGTGATGCATCCAAACAGGTTGACTGCATAATTTTAAATTCTAAATATGGTATATGTTTTAAAGTGAGATTAGAATAATATTATTCTAATTCAATTTATCCATCCAGTTCACCATCCCACTTGATTTGCAATGCTTTACTTGAGAGAAAGTATGTGCCTTCTTCATCAGGCAGCAAAAATATATATATTTCTACCACTACATATGCCATTTCTATTGGGAATTACAAAAATGGACTTTCAAGATTCCCATCCCTGAAACCAACTGATCCTTCCTGATTTCTCAGGTAGGTACTTAACAATCAGGAGGAACAAATTCCTACTTTCATCCACTCCTTCAACTTTCATTCCACAAGATTCCTAAGATTATGAAGAAATTATACATTTTTCAGCCTGAAGTATCATACCAAAACCAAAAGGTTACAATGTCAGAAAAAGGAGATATGTAGCCAAGATGGTACTTAAAATTCAGAAACTGCCATATTTTGCATACCAGGGTAACTTTGGACTTATTCTGTGGGGGAGTGAATGAAAAATGTAATGGTGGGTGAGTTGTGCATTCGGCTTGACATTTTCTCCTTTGACTCTGGTGGAAATCTTTGGCTCTAGGCCTCTGTTTAAATGCCTGGCCAAATGCTTTAAATTCCCAAAAATTGGCAACTTGTGCTCTATATTTGGCCATGGCACTAGTTTTTTAACCAGATGACTCAATGATCACTAAGCAATCTGAGTTGAATTTCCCTAGGTAAAGGAGAATAACAAGAGGAGGTTAATAGGAAAGTGATAAGATCAATGCAATTACCTTTCTTCAGCGGACCAATGAATCCACAAGATGTACCTCATTTTAGATCAGAATAGCCATAGTTTCTTTCTTCACGCCTCTTACTACAAATCCTAGAAGCATAGAATCAGAATTGGAAGAGGGTGCATGGGCTCTCTAAGTCCAACCTCCTGTGAAGGAATCCAAATTAAAGCATTCTAGTCAGATGGTTTTCAGTCCTAATTTGAATATATTCAGTGAAGAGCAGTACACCTTCTCTAGATAGCATGTTTCATTGTTGAACTGTTCTTATTGATAAATAAGGCATCTGTCTTCCTATAACTTAAACTCATTATTCTGTGTCTTGCATTCTGGGATGAGAAAACTTCATCTATATGGACATTTTTATAGCCAATAAAACATAGTTAAAACTGGAAATATATGACCTATTGCAATAGGGAGATTGCCACAACTAAAGGAACCACACACAAGGAACAAAAGCAAATCTTTCCAGATTACTTCAAGGGCTTCCTATGCGCATCTTCAGAAGGAAAGCTGATTAAGAGGAAGTGATGTGCTTTCTTAGCCAATAAATTGCAGGAGTTAATGCCAATTGCCCTGTTTCTGTCTTAAGAACAAAAGTAGGATCCGGCATTTACCAGCTTCCATGCTGGGCACAAAAGGACTGCACATTCCCCTGCCAGTCTGGTGGGAGGTGGCCTAGAGCCTTTTGCTATCCTTTTAATTGTATCTGATGTAGATGCAAGGGTTGAGGAAGGGGGATGGGGGATGGGGAAGGGAGAGTATTAAAACAAAGAAGCTTTTTTTTAAAAAAAAGGGGACCAGGAGAACAACTCCTGCGCTCCATTGTGGACGCCAAAACGATCACACAAAGACACATTTCATTACTGAAATTTCATCACACAAACGTGATTAAACGCCAGAGGGAGTCGGGACGCCAAGGAGATTTGTAAGTTATAACAACTCTGCAAATTAACCTATTATTGGCATAGCTGCTGTGAGCAAACGCAACACATTCCTTGTGGCTTCAGTGCCTTTGTCTGTTGACAGTTGTTGCATTCTGTTCACTTCCATTTCACATTATTTCTGAAACTACTCCCTTAAAAAACTATTTCCAAATATAAATTTCATTTGCATGTTTGTGTTTGTGTATAAATGAAATTGGGTGGAGGGGAGGGAGAGAATAGGTAACTTGAAGTCCTAGGACTGTCTACAGCCTTTGCCCCAATTTCACAAGCTCCCTGGAAAAACATCTCACATCCGGGGCAAGTCCGATGTACCCCTCCAGTAGCAACTCCCCGGCATAAAGTAGAATAATAAAAGAATTTTGCCATAGTAGGAGGAAATCTGGATATTCCAGCAGGAATCTTTCTTCAGAGTCTGGTTAGCTTTAGTTTCTCTCCCAAAACCCTACATCTGAAACAAAGGTACACAGGATTGAATGTTGCATACAAAAACCAAGAGTTGTATTTAAAAAAAAGAACTTGCATTCGAAGAAATTACACTTAAGAAAGTATGCATTAAGTTTGCATCAAGAGCCAAAAGCCAGGCAATCTGTATCTTAAGCAAACCTTTTTGGACTACATGCCTTACATACGTGTAACTTATAGCAGCAGTCCCCAACTTTTCCGGCTCTGCCGACTGGCGGTGTCAGTGTCAGAAGGGGGATGGTTTTGTCCGTGTGCCCGCTGGTTACACAAAATGGAGCTCTGCCTACTCACCCATCGCTTGCACAGCTCAGTTCCCAATGGACCATGGGCTTGTTGGGACCTCTGACTTATAGGAATGAGGTTTACAAAGCCTTTGTAGATTATGTTAAAATATCCTTACAGTCTATCGGGGTGTTGGACTGAGGATTGATTGGAGTGTGTGACTTGGGGTGGGGGAGTAGGCAGA